GGTGTGGGTAGTTCTCCAAGTTAGGGTCCCATTTAGGCCGTACTATTTCGGGGACCCTACTTGAGAGAACTACCCATAAGGAGGGGGGATGCTGCACCCGATCCTCAAGGGGGGATCGGCCTGGAACTTGGAAATGTAAGGGGCCTCAGTAATTAGAATAAGCTTTGGGGGTATACTTCACGATAAATGTAATAAGGAGCCCCCCCCCCCTCCAAAAAAAAACAACTATTCTAATCATTTAAGGCCCCTAGACTAAAGCTCAAAGCGCACGATGCCTTCTCCAATGCGTAGGCCGGTATGGATCCCAGACACCTGGTGGATTTAGGGCCTAGGGTTTAGGGGTTCAGGGTTTTAGGGGTTTAGGGTTTAGGGTTTAGGGTCTAGGGTTTAGGGTTTAGGGTCTAGGGTTTGGTCTAAAGCTTAAAGGTCCTGCGATGGATGGGGGAAAAGAGGGCCTTGGAGTTACGCGCGTAGGGCAGGGTTTAGGTTCAGGGTTTAGGGTTTAGGGTTTAGGATTTAGGGTTTAGGGTTTAGGATTTAGGGTTTAGGGTTTAGGATCTAGGTTCAGGGTTTGGTTCGGTAGGGCTTTTCTCCTCCCTTCCGACGGCTCCTCGTAGTTCCACTTTGCCAGACCCTGGGCTGTGGTACTTGATGCTTGAAACGGCAGGCTTTTATAGGGCTTAGGATCTCAACTCGCCGAGGAGACACAAAACCCGAACCCTCACCACACTAAACCCAAAGCCCCACAACTCTACCCAGAACCCCAAAACTCTAAACTCGAAGCCCAGAGCCCCGGAACACTAAACCCGCAACTCAGAACCCCCCCCCCCCCCNNGTCCCCCCCCCCCCCCCAGAAAAAAGCCCGGAACTCACAAAACCCTATAACCTCAAGGACCATCTCTCTTAGATCCAAACCATGGAGAGAGGATCGATAAGGCCTGGCGGCAGGAGGCCCATGGAAGCTCGTTGCTCTGAACGCAGGAAGCTTCTTTTGACAAAAACTTGGCTGACCCAAGTTTGAAGACCCCCTGCAACCTGACTATCCAAACCCTAAGCCTTAACTTCTAAACCCTAAACCCTAAACCCCTAAACCCTAAACCCTATCAAAGTACGTTTTTTTCGCGGTGTTTATGGAGCCTTTGGGCTATAGCAGCCTTTAGGGTTTCACTGCAGCCTGAGCTTCGAGGAATCCTGGGCCTCATGCCCTGCATATGAGACCCTCGGAAGCTGCAAGTTTGAGCTCGGTTTAGGGGTTAGGGTGTAGGGGTTTAGGGGTTTAGGGTTCTGGGTGTAGGGTTTAGAGTTTGGGGGTTTAGGGGTTGAGGGTTTAGGGGTTTAGGGGTTTAGGGTTTAAGGCTTAGGGTTCAGGGTTTCGGGCTGTGTTTTGTTGCATTTTTTCCAGCAAGTTCCCATGATCTCCGCGGAAAGACCGTAGACGGCCAAGGGTTTCGAGTTTATGCTTGCAAGAAGCCTAGAGAGAAGTCTTTGGATTCAGACGCTTCTTGACTATGTAGACCCTGATATCGAGCTCTCTTTCTTCGGCTCATGAACCCTAAACCCTAAACCCTAAACCCTAAACCGTTGCAAACGTACTAATTACTGCTTAGGCTTTAGGGTTTAGGGTACTATTTGCCCTCTGGGGTCTGGGTCTGGTCTAGAGTTTAACGTTCGCGCAGGTGCCTACAGAACACATTTCGTGTAGATAGGGCCTATATGTGTGTATATATATATATATGTCCATCTATCTAGCTGTATATAGGTATAGATATAGATATATATATATATATCGACCTGTATGTGAGCATAGCGCAACCCGTTTGGGCCCCTCCTCGAGCCTTCTGGCGCAGACGCCGGGACTTTTGATGCGCAGCCGGAAGAAGCTTCAAACACATGTGCCCCTGTATTCGATGGCTCTTGGGGGCTCTGAGCGTTCAGGCAGTTCCTGATTTCAGTGGGTATCTTCAGAATCTAGAATCTGGCATTGGGCCCCTGCAAGAATGCCTCACCTAGACCACAGAGCCTCAAGTGCAAAAGCTGCCGGCGACACCATCTTCGATCTTGTTCAAGATCATCCTCGCCACCTTGATGAACACATCCTCCACCTCTGTGCTCGCTGGCACTTGGGAGCTTGCTTGCTTACCCTGTGCCAGACTCACTGAAGCCTCACATCGCACCTGCTTGTAGGTTTAGGGTTTTGGGTTAGGGTTTTGCACTAACAGCCGCTGAGGGAGGGACCCCCTCGCCGGTAAGCGCGCTGGTCTCGAGAAACAAGATATCTGGGAGCAGGCTGCGGGTGTTCCGGGATCTAATCCTGACCCTCAACCCCTAATTCCTGTACACCCTAGATCCTAAACTCTAACCCGGAATTCCTAAACTGCCCTAGATTCTAAATGGCTACGGCTACGGGCCTCCTATATAGGATTCGCTACTCTGCGCAGGCATGTTGGAACGAAACAGGAGTCAACACAGCAGTGAAGGTCAGCAGACTGCGCGTAGGGGCTGTTAAATCAGAACTCCGTCAAAACACAGGTTTAGGGGCCTTTATCGTTAGACCAAGTTTTTGGGATATGCCATACTAAGACTGTAGTAAGCAGCCCTGAGGAATAGTATTGGTAATTATTCAGGTTTCATACCTTTACTAAACCCTAAACCCTAAACCCTCAAGCTTCACTCTTACTCCTACACCCCCCGAAGTGGAGAGATGCTCTCTGAAGATCTCTTGCCAATCTGGGGCTCGGAGGTTTGGGGCAGAGCTACTAAACAAAGCTCCTCCTCAACGGCAAGGCATCCCAAATACATAATGGTCTTCTTAATAATGGTCATAGCCGGAATCGTAATCTGGAAACATTGTTAAGATTAGTAAGCATGCAGAACCAGTCAAGTCGATTATGGTGCAGTGGACTTAATAGCCTAGTGATAGTAACTCTTGAGAAAACAATAACCAAATGCTGCTACAACAGCTAGTACTAGCACCAGCACCAACACTACTGGCACAGGTAGTAGCACGAGTGCAGCCCACAATACCAGTACTAGTCACTAGTACAACAACAAGGACAACGACAACTATGACTACGCCTCCTCGTCCTCCGCCTGGTGGCTACTGCAGGTGGTACTGCTGCTACTTCATCTACCGGTGCTACTACTTGTGATAAGAGCCATCTCTTTCATCATGCCCAACAGTTTTGACCACAATCATAACTCCTGCGAGCACTCCGAAAACAACAGTCCAGATTTGCTGGGCTTCCCAGCCGTTCTCCTGTGCACATCGACTCGCTTCAAGGAAGGTCACTTCCTCGGCAATAGCAAGGATTGTAAAGACAATGATAACGGCAGTACTGACGAAACATGCTTTGCAGGAAGTGCTCGAGTTTTCTTGTGGGCTCTGGCTTAGGATTCAATTGTCCAGGGCAGAGGGTTTAATTACGTCTCGAGGGTTCGAGAAGAAGTCTCAAAATCACGAGTTGTTTGGGCTTTTGGGATTGGGCTTTAGTCTGGGGGGGATGCAGGCATTGCAACTCCGAAACATGCCGTCATCAAACTAAATAGGCCATTATGAATGCAGTGGCGGCAGCGCAGCTACCACATGGCCTTTCCAGCATATTTAGGGTCCTTACAACGAGGGTACTGTAAGCTACCAGTTAGCTTACATATTAGTGTCCCGTACTTTCTGACGGCAAATTCCAAATCCACGCCCACGCCCCGATCCGAACTCGCGGCAGGCCCCAACCATCCCGCAACACTTCTCTTCAAAGAGCCCTATAAAGAACCTTCTGCTCCGTAGGATGAGTTCCGCATATGCAACTTACTGTATCAAAGCTATCCTGTATTAAAATCATCCTAACCCTAAACCCTAAACCTACTGCATCAAAACTATCCTCACAACGACGCGAACTTGGCCCCCGGCACGCTTCTCCTTGAGGTCGACTTTGTTCCCTGATTCGACTTCCGGGCTTGCTGACTGCGTACTGCCCAACCCAATATAGGGTTGAGGGATTAGGGTTTACTAGAGTAGGCTTGTGGGGTACATCTTACAGAACATGTTAAAACAAAGTATATTCAGGAACACCGAAAAATAGTATGGGTTATTTTTCCGATCTCCACTAAAACCTGGCTCACTAGAAGCCGGAAGTCCTCAAATCCTTACCCCCCCTGCTCCGCTCCCAAGTCCTTGCAACCTGGAACCCGACCAAACCAGAATCTGCAAATCCGACGGTTGATGATATAAATCCTGCGTTACCCATAGGAAGGAATGGACCATAATTCCCATAATTTAGGGTCCTTAAGATAATGCAGGGTGTATATATATATATGTACACTGTACACTAGAAATATATACACTATATATATATATATATATACACTCTATATATATATATATACACACACACTATATATATATATACATATAAATACATATATATATATATACATATACATATATATATATATATATATATATTTCATCATCATCATCATCAACAGTACATCCGGCTCTCCGGTTCGAACGTTTCTAGGTCTTTTGGCGGGTACGCTGGGGCTCAGGCCTGAGGATGTTGGCGAATGAACGGGGGTTTAGGGCGAATTTACGGCTAAAGTTGTTATTTAAAGTTGCGTTGACTTTTCCGTCTGCCGACATCGGCTCACAACCGTCGCTCTCTCAGTCTAGGGTACCTAGACCCTGAAATACAGTACAGTTTTTTGGGTGACCCATTCTACGGTTGGCACCCTGTAATAAGAAACTAAGGTATCCCCCCAGAAAATACTACATTTAATGATCTAGGTATAGTGTTGAGTAGTAGGGGTTCAGGCTCGAGGGCTTCCGATCGTCGGCTTTCACTTATCGGTGTGGCGAAGCCCCCTGTTAGGATCCTTACAACAAGGATCCCACCCTTCATGATGACCAATGTGCATTCAGCCGTTGAGGCACATGAAATCCCCCTAAACACCGTCCACCCTCGTACTTGCAAGCCCAAATCCTACAGCCTGAACCCTGAACACCAAAGTCCAGAGTGAGTCCGTGCCCAACAGAGGAAAGAATTTCTCCGCCAAAAGACTTTTAAGCCTGAATCTTCCAACCGGGAGGCAAACCAAAGAAACTGCGTTCAGTCAAAGGACTATTCGCACGTCTTCCCGAAAGTGTGTTCAACTTCTGATCTCATGCCCTTTGTAGCCCACGTCAGCGAAAGCATGCGCCTACGGTAATGATGGAGATGTCTGCTCTGGCAAGAGTCCTGCGTGCAGTGGCTACTCTGCAGAACATGAGAAAGCAGGTCTGAAATGCTGACGGTTTTGGCTTCAATTTCGGTTGAAGGAGCGGGAGTTGTCCAAAGAAACCAACCGCAGGACGGTTTCTGTGAAACGGGCTTCGAGCTGCGCGCTTTGTGGTAGGACTATTGTGGCTTAGCATTCCAACCTATCATTCTGCTGCAGCTTCGTTCCATTCTGAGTGGTAGTGACAGCGTCTGTAAACAAGACTTGCCAAGTAAATGTGGCATCAATTCGATGTGCGACGCACAAAGGCTTCTAAGGCACCAAGGGCAGGTAGAAAGACATGTGAGTCCAGACCGGTTGGAAGACTTATGGAACGGGAACAGATCCTCCATGAGACCGTATGCTAAAATGACACCTTGTTCCTCAACAGCCATGAGGAAGATCTTTGACAGACTCCTCCCTATGCGTTGGTCCAAGGTCGGATGGCATCGACAAGGGTTTTGGTCTAGGGTGATGTAGGGACAATGTAGGGGCCGTAATAATTAGAA